TTGCTGGTAATATTTTGTTCTGACAAAAATCTGTTTCTGGCAATATTTTCATTCAAAATTTTATTGCTGGTAATAATTTTGTTGGTAATATTTTTTTCCCAAAATCTATTTCTGGTAACATTTTTTCCTTCAAAAAATCTATTTCTGATAATATTTTCCCTTTGCTGGTAATATTTTTTTCAAAAAATGTATAGCTGGTAATATTTGTTTTTTTTTTTTACAAAAATGTATTGCTGGTAATATTTTTTTTTTTTACAAAGTATTTCTGGTATTAAAACCTATTTTTCTACTTTAATAGTGTTTTAACCCCAGTTTAGGGGTTAATTATTTGCCCATAGTTGGGAGCCTAACAGGTGCTACCACCCCGGGTCAGGATGGACCTGGGGACACCAGCAATTAAGAGGTGGTTCCTCGCTCCTCTAAATCTCCTGATCAGAGGCCTTGCTGTTGGACGTAGTTTATCGTCTTACTCAGGACGCGGATGTAGTTTATCGTCATACCCAGGACGGTGATTATTAAAGAAAAGTCTATATATGCATACGCAAACACAGTCCATACACACATACTCAAGCGTACATAGCTATATGTGTGTGTGTTTGTATAAGAGAGAGTAGTATGTGTGTTTGGGCTGGTTATTTGTTCGAAACATGATTGGGAGTGTGTATGTGTGTGCTGTTGGAGCTTACTGGCGCATGCGACAGAATCACTCGTGTCAAATCCATTCATCGTTTTATATTTGTAAAAGCATTTAATAAGCGTTCGTTCATATTATAATTTGATTGATGACTTGAATGTACAATGTAAAGACCCCCTAAGAATTACAAGAAATAGAATGATATAACTCTAGTTTATTTTATTTTATCTTATTCATTTATTTTATTTATTCTTTTCTAGTATTTTATATTCCATTCACTTGTCGTATTATTGTAAGGGTTAAAGCCGAACCAGTCAAAATAGCAAGCAACGGAATTTTGATTCAAATATGGCTGCTCTGAGGTCAGGACACATTGTATTATTAGACACACGAGTTTCTTTTTCGTTTGTCCTTTTCCGGATTATTTTCTCATATTTATTTTTATTCATTTAGAAACTTGACAATGGACGAAGATTTCCCATGCAATATTCGTTCAACATCTATGAAGGAACTGGACTGAGATATGTAAATAGAGAAATCAATAAATTTCTTTGCGATTGTGTAGCGTCAAGCCTTCCCTTATCAACTGGGCCTTCTTTCCCACTTCGTTCTCAAAGAACTATTACCTCGAGAATGGATAATGCATGAAATCTATGACAACAGTTTTATATATATATATATATATATATATATATATATATATATATATATATATATAGTTAGTTAGTTAGTTTATTCAAATTTAGGTAATCCGTATGGGTAGACCTGAGGAGGATGATATCCAGAGAGCTCAATGTAAAATTCAGAGCAGATATGTTTGAATAAAAGACAGACCACGTTATATATATATATATATATATATATATATATATATATATATATATATATATATATTAAATAAAAAACAGACCACTTTAAGGTTCCATGTAATAAATTATTTCACCACAGCAGACTTTTCAAAAAAAAAATCAAAAGGACTTGCGGGTCATCAAACATTTACATCCAAACAAAAAAGACAAAGTGAGTTTAAAAATTTCACCCTTGTCTTCACTGCCACTTCCCTCACTTCGTTAATTTACATATACGGCCCGTCAAAATCAAAATTTTCTTTATATATATAAATACACCTTAAAGTGGTCTGTTTTTATTTAAATTATTGCTCTGGAGCTAAACAAACCCATACGATTACCTGAAATAGTATATATTTTAAAACAGTATTCGTTAAAATGTATATATATATCAAATTCAAGTAAAAAAATAATAAATGTGTAGAGCGATTTAATATCTTCAAAAGATTAAAAAAGACTTGTATTTTTTAAATCTTTTTAAAATTTCATTAAACTAGAGTTTAAACATTTTTTTTAGATATAGCTAAACAACATCATCATTAGGTATTTTAATATTCAACACAGTGATGAGTCCTTGACGGACGGTAAACAAACCGAAATTTGTTGATCAAGGTGTTGAATTCATATATATATATATATATTTTAATATATATATATATATATATATATATATATAAATACTTTCAAAAAAAGATTTTTATTTTAAAACTTTTTAGTTGTTTTTCTATATATACATATTAAGAATTTATTGATTTTATATATTTATTATATATATATATATTTAATTTATTAGGCCCTTTCAACCAATATCGTTTTCAGGAAGGAGACAATCGAGAATTGAAATCATTAATTAACGAAAAGAACATTGTAACGAAAATAAAGAGCTTGGTGAAAGTAGTCGTGGCTCCAGGGCACAGTCCTGGGTTACAGAGAACTCAGTAAGAGTTCCACCACGGAATATGTGAGTAAAATGAGTCTGATTTGCACTGAAAACAAGTCAGGGTATATACTGCCGATGAGTCCCAAATATAACGAGGGAGGATTCTATCAGACTCGATGAATTAATTAAATATAATTATCAAATCCTAATCATATATATATATATATATATATATATATATATATAAATAAATTAGCTAAACAAACCCTGAAAGGGACAGTAAGAAAACAAAATTAAAATAAAATTAAAACTGAATCCCCAACAGATTAAGACGGTCGAAACTTAGTGTTGATTCACTTTACAAATCATTCTTATATATATATATAATTTTAAAAACTAGGAATTTATTGATTTTTATTAGCCGGCAGGAGACAATCGTTGGATCATTAATTAACGAAAAAGAACAGTAACAAAAAATAATACAGACTAAAATAAGAAACGATTCCAAAATCTTCAAAGGGATTAAAATTCCCCAACAGATTAAGAGGAACCAATCCTGTCAAAATGAATGATTTTAAACCAGCTGTATGAATTTTTAAACCACGACTATATATATGTATGTGTATGTGTGTGTGTGTGTGTGTGTGTGTGTGTGTATTATATATATATTACTTTTATTATAAGAGATTATTATTAGAGACTATCTTTACCCATTTGTTCTTTCTCTATATATATATATATATATATATATATATATATATATATATATAAATTTTAGAAAATTTTTAAATTCGCAGGTGAAAATGGTCATTAACTTAATGAACGTATCTTAATTTCAATTGTACGAAACATTTTGCTCTGTTTAATGAATATACATATTGAGCGCTCTTTGTGTGTTAGTTTTAACATTTAATATTTAATAGTATATATATATATATATATATATATATATATATATATATATGCCTTATTTTGATAGATACAATTTATGTAATATTTGAAACTATATAAATTATTTTTAATAGATACAATTTCTTTAAGTTAATGCACTGCCTTTTAAATAAACAGTATTAATTCCATTTTACCCGACTAAATGTTCGAAAAATTTCGTAGAAAATATGCGTTCCCCGACAGGAATGGAACCTGCGTCCTATACGGAACCGTCACAGATAGATAGATAGATAGATAGATAGATAGATAGATAAAAAAAAAAAACATAAAAATAACAATCGCTACAATAATATTCTAACCAATAAAAAACGTGCTACCGTTGAAGAAAAATATATATTTATTAATATATACTTAATAGCTGTTATATTACTTAGAGCAGCACTATTATATATATATATATATATATATATATATATATATATATATATATATATTATATATGTCATCCACAGACAGACTGTTTCGCTGTTTCCTTGTTTCGTCATCCATTTACACTAGTTATCTAGATAAGTTTTCCTCTGTCCCTCTTGCCTTCAATCTGTCTTGTGAGTATCAAATTTTCCAAGCTCCCCTTCCTCATAATGTCAACTATCGCTTCCTGTTGCCAAATATAAGTGTCCTTTTTGTTTCTATTTTCTCTAAATCCCCCGTCTTTGCTCATATGCTTAATCCATGGTATCCTCAGTATCCTTCTGTCGAGCCACATTTCAGTTCCTTAATATTCCAGTAAGATATCTTTAATCATTTCTACGGTACAACGGTTCAAAGTTTAACTTCACAATTGGACAATTTTGCTGTTACACGATTTGACAATTTTGCTGTTACACCCGGTAATTTATCAAACGCTTTCATCACAATTATAGTAGATTTTACTGATTCAAAACTAGTCTAAATTGATGACGTCAGTTGTAATGCCATATTTCAACCAGATCGTTTTAGATCTGTTGTTCATTCGAGATCAACTTACTGATATATTGTCATTCAAAGCCAAATTCCATGGGGCTAATTACGAAATATATATATATATATATATATATATATATATATATATATATATATATATATTTATACACATATATATATCTATGAACAGCTTACCGAATTTAAAATTACGTCAGAAAGTAAATTGTCACGACTACCACATAGACAGACGAGAGGTGGGTGAAAATTTGGCGGCAATGATCCGAAAAAGCTCAATAAAAATAAATTTCTTTGATTTTTCAGATATTTTTGGGTTGAGCCACGAAGTTTTGCGCACCTCCTCGTATAAACACATATATAGATATCAATATCTATATCCACACACACATACACACACACACACACACATATATATATATATATATATATATATACATATGTGTGTGTGTATTTGTCTGTTTATATATATATGTATATATATATGTGTGTGCGTGTGTGTGTGTTTTCAGTATCTGTATATGTACATTTATATATATATATATATAAACACACACACACACACATATATATATATATATAATGTGTGTGTATGGGTAGGTGTGAGGGAGTGGGTGGGTGTAAATTTTAATTTTAATACTGTGTATATTTTTGTCTATTACTGAATGTCTTCAATCGTGGGAAACTGACAAAATTTCAGGCCCACCACGAGAAAATACCACCACCATCCCCACTACCACATTCAATGTGGACAGGTTTACGCCCACATATATTGAAACACTGGTTCACGTACGATCACCGAAGTTAAGCAACGTCGGGCCTGCTCAGTACCCAGATGGGTGACCGCTTTGTAATATAAGTGGTTGTAATAGATGTCGGAGAGCCGAGTTCCAATTCCAGTTGGGTTCGTTATATTCTTTTACGCGGAAATGTACTTGGGAAAGGGATGAATCTAGCTTTTATCCCCCCAGCTATGGGTTAATTAGTAAGATATTTATTATCTCCAAAAAGTTCTTACAATGTAGAAATATTTGAATAAAACCTGCAAGCGTTTGATAAGTCATAAAATACGAAATCAGTCAATAAATCTGAATCTAATAGCCGATTCTAAGTGCAGCATTTTTTAAAGACGAAGGCGTTCATGGCTCTCCACAGATTCCTTTTCTTTATTATCAATGTATTGGTACGTATTCTTGTAAAAGATATTAGACTCTGTTATTTAATACATATCTCAGGATTGTAGGGTGACTAAATGGATTTGAGCGAAATGAAAAAAAGAATTAAGAGATAGAAAGGACTGGGCATTGTGAAGATCCATGATCGTCTATGTCCTGAGGGGACACGGTGTATGAATACACACACACACACACACACACACACACACACACACTTATATATATATATATATATATATATATATATATATATATATAAATGGATATATTGTAATGTTTTATGTGCCTTTCATTTATTGATAATGAACAGACACAGATAGATAGATAGATAGATAGATAGATAGATAGATAGATAGATAGATAGATATGAATAGAATGATACATAGATAGATATGAATGAATGAGATAGATTTATAGATAGATAGATAGATAGATAGATAGATGATAAAATGAGACAGATAGATATGAACAGATAGTATAGATAGATACATAAGATAGATATGAACAGACTAAGATATTTGAATAGATATGGATAGATAGAACGTGATATAGATAGATAGATATGAATAAAATGAGATAGATAGATAGATAGATAGATAGATACATAAATACATAGATATGACTAAGATAGATTTGAATAGAATGAGATGAATAGATAGATAGATAGATAGATAGATAGATAGATAGATATGAATAAAATGAGATAGATAGATATGAACAGACAAGTATAGATAGATACATAAATACATAGATATGAACCGACTAAGATAGATTTGAATAGAATGAGATAGATAGATAGATAGATAGATAGATAGATAGATAGATAGATAGATAGATAGATATGAATAAAATGAGATAGATAGATAGATAGATATGAACAGACAAGTATAGATAGATACATAAATACATAGATATGAACAGACTAAGATAGATTTGAATAGAATGAGATGAATAGATAGATAGATAGATAGATAGATAGATAGATAGATAGATAGATATGAATAAAATGAGATAGATAGATAGATAGATATGAACAGACAAGTATAGATAGATAGATATGAACAGATAGAAGATAGATAGATGAGATATGAATAAAATGAGATAGATAGATATGAACAGACAAGTATAGATAGATAAATAGATATGAACAGACTAAGATATAATGAATAGAATGAGATGAATAGATAGATAGATAGATAGATAGATAGATAGATAGATAGATAGATATGAATAAAATGAGATAGATAGATAGATAGATAGATAGATATGAACAGACAAGTATAGATAGATACATAAATACATAGATATGAACAGACTAAGATAGATATGAATAGAATGAGATAGATAGATAGATAGATAGATAGATAGATAGATAGATAGATAAACACAAACATAGAAACTTCATTATAATTTATTTCCTAATCATCTTACACCGAATTAATCCCAAACGCTTTCTTGTCGCCGCTCCTTCCCCAGTGGCACTTCTTCGGTCTTCTGCACAAAGTTGACCTTCCTCCTTTGACAAGGTCATAGTAAAAGCCGCCATTCTTCTCGGCTTGTAAACTTGCCTTTGTTGTCAACGACCAACACGATGATTCACTTCTTTGTTGCCCTTTTGCTGGTTTCATCAATCAAATCTTGTCTTTGAGTGTCAACTGAAGAGGATGACATTTTCAGCCATCAGCTTTACCCGATATCATATCGCGAAAAACACTGAATATAAGCCTGTTTGCAATCCCAAGATGCAAGTTACGAATATAAAAGTCGAAAATGAAGTAAATAAAGATGTCAGCCGTAGTTTTGATCCACGAGTCAATGCGAACGATTCTTTTCTTAGCTGCGTCGTATGTGCTTCGCTAGAACCTCATACAGACTTAAATTCAGATTTTTTGCTTTTTTCTAGACTGGTCGACAACCAAGACTATAGACCCCAGTCTGTCCAACTATTTATCCCTAGCTGTGGGGAGAAGAATTTGATTCAAACTTTTCCCAACCGTAAATGAATGTAATAAACTCGACTGGATTTCGTCACATTCAATTACCTTTGGAAAAGTTATGAATCCAACCTGCTAATTGAATATTACTGCTATATATTAGCAGGAGCTGCACAATTTTTATTCAAGTCTTGACATAGACGAAAAGTGTCTCTGCCAGTTACGGTTTGAAAATATTAAAATATAAAAACTAGCTATTCTAGTTTTATCATTATGTTAATATTAAAGCTAGTCGCATTTTTGTATTTGTTGTAACTGAGTCATCAAAAACAACAGTAGAAAAACAGGAATTCGCTTAACAACAAGTTTATTACCTTATCGTACAGGGAAACATAATGTAGAATAGAAACTTGGGAAGAGAATGTCTTACCGTGAATGACTGTTTTCAGCAAAGGCTACTGCTCCTCCTACTACTCCTCTTGATGTGGGCATATTTTTATGTCTTTCGTCCGACGACCGAGTACAAACTTATAAGGAAATATTCTCCCACAAAACACGTATAAACTACCCCTTAATGTAAGACTCTACCTCGAGTGATCACCGTGCCTCGTATACGGTGAAGATTACTGCAAAAACGAAAAACATTCGACATCCCTAGACCGAGTAGTCAGTGTTACAGCAATTACAGTGGGTCTATTCACTGATGATCAAATAACAGTAGTTATTCTAAGTATTGTAAATCTGCTTTTAACAACCCCACTCTCTCACTCTTTGTTGTAACTGAGATATCAAAAACAACAGTAGAAAAACAGAATTGGTTTAATAACAAGTTTATTACATTTTGGTACAGGGAAACATAATATAGACTAGAAACTAGGGAAGAGAATGTCTAACCATGAATGACTGTTTTCAACAAAGGCTACTGCCCCTCCTGCTACTCCTCTTGATGTGGGCATATTTTTATGTCTTTCGTCTGACGGCCGAGTACAAACTTATAGGGAAATATTCTCCCTCACAACACGTATAAACTACCCCTTGACGTAAGACTCTACCTCGAGTGAACCTCACCGTAAAATGCAAAAACAAAACACCGAGCAGTCAGTGTTACACCAGTTACACTTTTCATGTCGTATATTATTATTATAATTATTACCACTAATTACTACTACTACTAATTACTAATTAATACTAATACTAATAGTATATCAGTTTTCGCTCCAGTTGTTTGAGATGGGTCTGTTCACAGAAGATCAAATAACAGTAGGCATTCTTAGTATTGCAGATCCGCTTTTAACATCTCCCCCACAAATGTATACACTCTAGGAAAACACTCTCTCACTCTTTGTTGTAACTGAGTTAACAAAAACAACAGTAGAAAAACAGAATTGGTTTAATAAGTTTATTAACCTTTTGGTACAGGGAAACATAAAGTAGAATAGTAACTAGGGAAGAGAATGTTTAGCCGTGAATGACTGTTTTCAGAAAAAAAACTATTGCTGCAACTGCTCCTGATACTCCTCTTGATGTAGGAATAATTTTGTGTTTCGCCCGACGGCTGAGATCCCTTCTTATATGGAAATGGAGAGACACTAGAATGTCAGCCTCTTCAAGTATAACCATGGTTTCTCCTGTAAAATTATTTAGTTGTGGAGAGCCATGATCGCTCCCGTCCTGAAACGACATGACGCTTTAAATCTAGATGGACTGTCAGTTAAACTACGCAGAGAAAACTGGTCAGTTGTTGTAATTGCCATCCTAAACTCTTACCTTTTGAAAGGCATGAACTGTAGATTTCCTGCTAACTATATGTTGGATATCAGTTATCTGTTATCTCCTGCTAATTTCCCTCTGAAAGTTCTCCACTGCCTTAACCGGGTATTGAACTCACAGTCTTTGGGTCCTGTCACTGGATCTAACCAACGCCTTTATCCACTCTGCCATGTGTCCTTGAGCAGTGGAGAACTTTCAGAGGGAAATTAACAGGAAATAACTGACATCCATTAAAAACATGTCACGTGGAACAGCGAGCGAAATAAAGGGTTCAGTTCAACATTCCAACCACCTGAAGAAGGCCGGAGTGTACAACGACCGAAACGTTGTAATAAATATGGCGACAAAGATGAGGACAATAGTCCGAATAATGTAAATAATGTAGCCAGATTTTTGTCTACCATTCCCACAACGACCAGTTCTTGACAATGACTAAAACGAGGGAAAATACCTGAGAAAAACACGAGATTCACTTACTTTATCCACAATGTAGATGGTGATGTAAATCTTTTTCGAAAATTGGGAATATATATATATATTATAAATTAATTGATTTAAAATATGTTTTTTCCGCTACACAGTTCTAACCATGTTTCAAAAATAAAAGCTAAAAGCCCCGAATTTAATTTTGCAATTAAATTAAAAGCATTAGTTCCATTTCATCCTCAAGCGAATTTTGGAGTAACTTTTAAAAAATTACTGTGTTTTAAAGACACAGCTAAAATCACGTTTCCATGGTTACAGAATATTCTACTTCAATTGGACAAAGGATGTCTAGGTTTTCCTTATGAGAGTATCATTGTATCAATTATTAGCTACAATTTGGTAAGGGGTAGGGATGTATTTTTCAATGAAAACTGACATCCATTGCATGCATGTCGTCTGGATTTTTTTTTTAAATTATTGTTAACGGTAAAAAAAATTCTTACGGCATTTTTTTTCCATTTATAAATTTAATGATTTTCGGGGGTGTTCAGATCATAATACGA